CGTTTTCTGCATCCGCAGAAAGAGCCTCCTATGGAGGTGGTGAAGGGAGTTATGGCGAAATCAATATCTTCATTTCACTGGGGCACTGACAATTTGTAGCAATGATACGAGGGATCACTGCACAGGGAGAGCTTGTTGGGCAGAATCTAATGTACAGCACATATATTTCTGAAAATTGACACAAAGACTTGCTTCAAGAGTAAAACAACAATAATAACAACAAAAAACACAGGTGAGTGGGCTACACGGAGCCATTATCTTTCTAGGAATATGTAAACAGGCTGTTGTAACACCAGTAGCATGATTTTGGAGCAGTGCGGGGTTCATTATAATTCTTTTTCTGGAAAGAAAATTTAATTCCATAATGCGTATAAAGGAGTCAGTGGAAAATATCCTGGCTGTACATTGAGATACACAAATCACAGCTATGATGACTGATTATCTACTAAAAGAACAGACCAACCCAGAAAATCATGTAGTATAATGCCCAGGAGCAAGGATAAGGCCATTCAGCCTTGTCAGTGAGATCGGCCAAGGAAGGTGAGCCCACCGTCAGAGGTATTCTGAGATGCAGGATGAGTTGGAATACTAACTAGACTCTTCAATCCTTTTTCCTTTCCAATCCTTTTCTTAGATTTGATGTTAATACCAGTGCTACTTGAAAATAAAATTTAATAGCCAAACGTTGGTTTATTTTGGTTTGTTATTTTTCTGGGCACTATTGCTCAGTTTACCCTGATTTCTGTGATATTCCAGTGTTCTATCTATATTGCTGTAATTAACGGTAATACTTAAGAATATATTCCTATCTATCTGATATATTCCAAATAAATAAATAAGAACGATGGATACAGATTTTTAAAGATGATTATTCATTGTTTTGGTATCTTCATAGCTTCCATGAGATTTAAATACATACATGGAGAAGCTTATACCTTACATGAATATATAATTTCATTACCCATCAGAATTATTTCTCTTATTCTATAATATATATTCATAAAAATAAAATGGAAATGGTTAATTTTTCTCTACTTTCCACTAATTTTATTATTTCTTTTTTTTTTCTTTTGACAATCAATGTTAAGGAATAAAAATAAAAAGATCCTTAGTTTTGGGTGCTTTTAAGATTCTCTTTTCCTGAGTCATGAAAAAACAAAATCTTTTTACTGTGTCTCTCAAAGATGGTGGCTATTTCTAAAGTAGGGTAAAGAGAGATGCATATGAGATGCAGATATTCAAGAAAATAGTCTGGCGCAAAATTTCCCAAATGCGTGTTCTGTGGAAAACTAGTCTCAAAAGACTTCCATCATCAAATAAGTTTGGAAGATGCTGTGTCTTATCTCCCTTTTCGGAGATTTACAGCACACTTCAGAATATTTAAAGCTTTGGTAAATTCTGCAGAAACGAAACTGGTTTAACAAAGCCTAGCATTTCTTAAACTTACTTGACAATGAAACCCGTCTTTAAAAATTTATGAAATACTCATTAACATTCTGCTTAATTGTGGGGAAATTAGAGTCTTCTGTCCTTTGCAAAATTATCCCCTCCCCATGGGCAGGCTATCTTGCACATAGACCCCTGAACTTTAACATATATTATCATTTCTGTGCAATACCCTTGGCAGAATAGGGTCGAGGCAACAATGTGAATCCCTCTATCCCTCACCTGCCTTAATGGCTTCATCCATTTTCATTATCTTCTCCATTATTTCATAAAATTGCCGTGAAAAATAACCAACTAAATGGTCATTTGGCTTGTCAAATTAAGTGCTATATGAATGTAATAATAATAGCGACCATTAATTGAGCACCCACTGTATGTCAGGCAGTGGAGCACTAAGTCAGGCACTTAACATAAACTTTCCCTGTTCCACCAGCAGAGGAAGCATTGCTATCTTCACTTAAAACACGAGGAAGCGGTCTCGGAGAGGTCATACGTCTCGCCCAAATTCACTTGCTACTACAGGATAAAGGCAGCATTGCATAATGATCTCTCTTTTGTCTCCCACGTCCCTGCACTTTTCACTATATCATGCTGTCTCTCTAAATAACGTGAATTCAGCTAGTCCCAGCAAGATAATAAAATATGAAGTGATAAGAATAATGATGCCAATAATGGTAATTAATAACAATCAGAATGGTATTAAAACTCTACATATTGTCACTGTGTAAAATTTATGGTGGTGCAATGTTTTAATATTATGGAACCCACTCTCTTTTCTCTCGCCCCCACAACCAATTAATCACTAACTCTGGTTGATTTTTTCTTTAATATCTCTGCAGTCCGTCTACTGTCACTAACTGTTGCTCAAGTCTCCATCTTAACTGCTGCAGATTTTTACTGCAACCAACGCCTAACTGGTATCCTTGCCTTCCTTCAATTCATTTTATGCACTGCAACCACAATGATCTTTCTAAAATACAAATCTGATTACTCCCCATCAGGTTTAAAACCTCTAAGCCTTCCCATGACGATAGGTGAGACTGAATTTATAGGCTTCTAGGATCCCTCATCATCCCCTGCTACCTTTCCAGCTTCACACTCCACACCCTCCTACCTCATTCTGGGCCTTATCAACAGCCACTACCAATTTCAATTCTCAGGTGCACTTTTATTTCATTTCGTATCTTCACTCTTCTGAAATTAAGGTGTGTTTTACAATTAATGGTTCATCATATGTAAGTGGCAGCATTTTTTGTGTCTGGTGGTACATGAAATGAATGGCGATCCTACAACTGATAACTTCATAAATTCAGTAGGATGTCATACTTCAGTTCCCCTAATGCACCACACTTTCTTATTTGGAGAAGTATTTCCCTGACTCTTCCTTCTGCCTGGGGTGCTCTTTGAATTTCTCTTTACTTATCACTCTCAGTCTCAACTTTCTGTGGGAAGGCTTTCCAGATTCTCCATGCCTGGTTTAAGGATGCCACTTTTTGCCTCTGTAGCATTATTTTATCACATTTGTGGGTGGTGGTTTTAAAGGATGCCCACCATTCTCTGATACTCCTCCCTTCCCTAACGTGAAACCTAATTCCCTCCCCTGAGTTTGGGCTGTACTGAGTGACTCCATTCTAAAGAATAGAATGTGACACATCACTGTGTCATTTCCAAGATTAAGTTATAAAAATACATTGTGCTTTCCTTCTTGCTTTCTCTTGAATTTCTCTCTGAGTGTACTAGTCCATTTTGTGCCATTATAAAGGAATACCTGAGGCTGGGTAATTTATGATGAAAAGAAGTTTTATTTGGCTCACTGTTCTGCAGGCTGTACAAGAAGCATGGTGCCAGCATCGGCCTCTGGTGAGAGCTCCAGGGATCTTCCAATCAGGGCTGAAGGAGAAGGGGAAGCAGGCATGTCATGTGGCAAGAAAATGAACAAGAAAGGGAGGTGGTGGTGCCAGGCTCTTTAAATCAGCTCTCACATGAACTAATAAAGTAAGAACTCACTCATTATAGTGAGGAGGGCACTGAGCCATTCATGAGGGATCCACCCTCATGACCCAAACACCTCTCACCGGGCTCCATGTTCAACACTGGAGATGAATTTCAGCATGAGATTTGGAGGGCCCAGACATCCAAACCGTATCAAGGAGGAAGCTAACTGTATGACACTCGAACACTTTCATGACAAGGAAATGAGGCCTCCAGCCAAGAGCAGTGGGAGAATGCCATCTTGGAAGCAGATTCCGAAGCTTCAGTCAAGCTTTCAGATGACTGCAGTCCCGGCCAACATCTTCCTTGCAATCTTATCAGAGACCCTGGGCCAGATCGCATAGCTAAGCTACAGACCTAAAGAAATTGTGAGATGATAAATGTGTATTGTCTTTAGCCACTAAGTTTGGGATGATTTGTAGCACAGCAACAGATAAGTAACATAACACTGAATTGGAAATGTTTCTTTTCTTGCTTCTTTTTGGACTGAAAGCTCCTGGAGGACAGGCCGTGCACTCTGCATAGGTTACCTTTCCAGTGAGTAAGATATAATTTGGCGTGTATTGCAGACTCAAAAAATTGTGCTGAAGTAATGTATACACATAGAAAAATCTCGTCTCATTCAGTACTTCAATTTAGACAGCAAATTCTTCCCCTTTTTTGCAAGCAAGTATTTGTAAGACTTGATATACATGGAAATTTATTTGTTTATTTATTTTTCATTGTTTATGGTGCAAGGAAAGAAGGAAAGAAGGAATACGGATTTTTCATTGATGCTAATCTCAAAGATTAGATTTTAGTTTCCTTACAGTAGCCAGAATGACCATTTAAAATGATTATTGTCTCTGCCCAAAAACCTTTAGTGGTTTCCCATTGCACTTAGAATAAAATTTCACTTTCTTCTTATAAGCTATAAAATTCTCCATGATCTAACTCTTGTTTACCTCTCTGACTTTATTTTTACCCTTCTCCCAAGACTCTAGTCTTCTTATTCCTCAAAGACACCAAGCTATTTCCTCTTCAAAGCCTTGGTACTCATTCTTTTCTTTGTCTAAAATTTTCTGCCTTTCTCTTTGCAAGGATGATCTGTTTTATATAAATCATATTTATAGATTATGCCAATTCTTCAAAAGAGGCCCATCCAGACCTGCCATTCAACTCACTAGTTATTCATAGTATCTACCCAATACCCTGATGTATTTTCTATCTCTCTATCAGAAATTATTCTCTTTATTTGTTCATTTTTTTGTGTTCCTTTCCCCTCCCTTAACTAGTAGTGAGCCCAATGAGGGGAGAAGCCTTGACTCTTCGGCTGATCTTAACACACAGCACATAGTAAGCACTAAATAATTGTCTGCTGGGTCAGTGAATAAATGGAAGGATGGATGAATGAATGAAAGTGAAGTAGCATGTGGGAGAGACAGAGAGATGCCAGGGACGTCCAGGATCATGTCCCCTGTCTATGTGTCCTCTTTGACTTTGTTGCAGCTGCTATTAGGAGAGAGGTCAGAACTGGAAGAGGAAATTTATATTTAATGTATTTTGTGAGACTTGGCTCTAAGAGAGCTTCAGGGCCCAGGTGAACCACTGTGAGAAGAGACAGGGAGGATCATTATCTCATTTCACAGGGATCTCAGCATGGCTCTGCTACTTCAAAGAAGGGCAGCTTTGGAAACATCAGAGACAGTTTCTCTGGAAAGAATATCAGCCTCCTGGAGATGGGCCCTGCCTTTGCAGGCAACGGTGAGGGTCCTGAAGCCCCTTCGATGGCGCTGGAAATTGATAGGGCAAGAAACAGCATGAAAAGTTGAATAACGCAGACACTTCAGGTTGAGTCTGGTTGGTAAATTGCAAAACACATATGGGGAAAACCATACATTTGGTCAGGGTATGGGAAGGGAAACCTCAGGGAAGAGACTAGAGGTCCTGTTTTAGGAAAAAAAATAAAGAACAAAAACATGTTTTCAAGTTTTATTTATTAGACTAAAAAATTAGGAAACTACTGTTCCCATAGAACAAGAAGAGTGCTGACTTTGGAATCAGAAAATCCGAGGTTTAGTTGTAGCTCTTTCACATGCTAGTTGTGTGACTTGGGCAATTTGTATAGTCTTTATAATTTCTATTTCCTCATCTGAAATACAAGAATAATGATATCTAATGAAAGGTGTTGTGAGGATCAAATGACATAAAATTTGAAAATATATATGACAACATTTTTGTAAAACATAAAATGTTATAAATTATTAGTTACTTGTCATTGTCACATTTGGGATTGTCTGCCTAGCTTATACTGATACTCTTCAATTTTTAACTGCTTCTCTCATTTACATGCCTGGCAACCTCAGGAGTCTTATTGGTTCTTCTGGATCTCACCCCCTTAGCCAAAGTTATTGGACTAGGAGTGGACATCTGATCTCAGCTTGACCAATCAGATTCTTCTTCCTGGGATTTTAGAATTCAGACTGAAAGACTCTTGCTCAGTCTAAGTTGGTCTTTGAATGACAGAGGCCCAAACCTAGGAACCGTGGGATGCCATCATAAATCCACGTGTTGCTGGAGAGCAAAGAAGGACAGTCAATGGAGAGAAAACGATTAAGCAGATTTGTAGAGAGAAAATTCCTGGATTCAGGGTGGATTTTCAGTTTCCGGCTCCAGTGTCCTAGGACACCTCTGTGTCTTAATTATCAATGCCCTTTTCTTTCCTATGTTAAATAAAGTTGGGTCCTGTTCTGTTGCAGTGAAAGAGTCCTAATACATGATTCTTTTACACACACACACACACACACACACACACACACACATACACACACGGAGATGGCCAACTTTATTACTAAGTGACAGTGCTGGTTAAAGAGAAGAGATTTGTCCCAACCTTAAACACGTGGAACTTATTTCATAAGCATGTGGTGTATCTGCCTTGTCGATTTGTGGATATTAACATCTATGTGGTGATTTAAAGTTTGTTAAAAGAAGCATTATATGAAGTGCAGTGATAACTATAATAACACCAATAATAGTAATATAGTACTTAATAAAAATCAGAAAGGCTTAAAAACACCACACACGGTGGGTGTGAAATGTTCCACAGTGGATTATTATAATATGGGCCATCATAGCTGACTTCCTTGGCTGTTAGTCATACGACCTAGAGATAATATCAGGAGTCCTTGCTCTTCTGTCTGCACTTCTCTTACTTTTCTTATTTAAATGAATTCCATCTGTTTGGAAAGAATTTTTCTTTCAGAAGCTGACAGTATCCACATTACTAATCAGACAAAAGAAATCATCCAGTAAAGGAAAATAATAATGTTCGCTCTCATTATTTTGTCCAGTCGTCTTTGGAAATACTTGCAAATGTCTGCACTGATCTTTGACTACTATGAAAACCCTCAAGCAGGTTGTTACTTTAATATTTCAAAAATCCATGTGTTAATTAATTTCTAGGAACACGTTACCAATATTATATACAATTTCCATCTCACACCACATAATTCTACTGCATAGTTAATGACCATGAACGGCTCTCTTGGAATGCCTATTGTTTCAGTATGAATAATCAGAAACCAACAACGTTTTCTAAAACAAAGTAATACATACATATTAAAACTCCAAATATGGACACATTTTCTGGCACAGTGTCTGACAATGGGGGAAAATAGCTGGAATCCAGGCTATATTGAAGGATCTGAGACGTTGTGATTTTTAGGATCAGTATGAATGCACATGTATATTATACATATGTGTGTGCAAATGCAGATGGACTGTCTTAGTCTGTTTGGGCTGCTATAGCAAAATGCTTCCTAGGTAATTTATAAACAACAGAAATTTATTGCTCACAGTTCCATAGGCTAAAAAATCCAAGATCAAGGTGCCTTGTAGATTCAGTGTTTGGTGAGGGCTCACCCTCTGCTTCAAATGGTGCTTTCTTGCTGCATCCTCATATGGTGGAAGGGCAAAAAAAGCCAACAAGCTCCATCAGGCCTTTTATAAGGGCACTAATCCCATTCGTGGGGGCCTTACTTTCATGACCTAGTCACCTCCCCAAGTTCCTACTTCTTAACACCACTGCACTGGGGATAAAGTTTCTATATACGAATTTTGAGGGAACATAAACATTCAAACTATTACACAGACCTTTTATAAGGGCCCTCCTAACTGTACAATTCATTTGTTCCCAAATTATTTTTTAATGATACTTACCATTACCTTCAAGAGCATATTTTTATTAAGACCTTCTTTGATCAAAAATATTTGCACACCTCAATAGGCTAAGTGCATGTCACTGTTGCCTGAATTGAGAAACCAAGTATGTATTACAATCTCACTAATGTGAATGGAGGTAGAATTAATGAAAATTTTGAATATGTAATTTTGTATAATAAATAACAGTATGTAATTAAGAGAGCATTGTTTTCAGGTTTGCTTCAATGAATTATCAATTTAACTGTTAGTAAGCCACATTTGTTGTCATACATGAATGTGATAAAATACTTTAAAATTTCTTTCCTGAAAGTAGATGCTTCTACAGAAATGATTACATTCATTTCTAAAATGATACTCTTGGCTATATGGTGCAAAGGCAAGCAGTCCAGTCCAGGCCAAAAAAAAAAAAAAAACCACAGAAAATCTCCAGTCTAGTGTTTCCCATAATATTCTGGGCCTATTTCCATCATTTTGTGTAATATATTTTATTTTTCAGTTTGCGTGCATTTTTCTCCTAGTAGACTAAAAATCTCTTGAAGTTACGAATGGATCTTATGCTTTTGATCATTGGTGCATAGCACAGGGACTTATAGGTAATATCTGTAGCAATAATTGTTTGTTGAATGAATGAATGAATCAGTGTGTTTGGCTTTCACTCATCGTTTTCACAGATTTCCTTAGTGGGAGGTGGGTAAAGAGTTATTTACACACTCAGGACTCAGAGAATTAAGATTCAGCCAGATAATGAATCATTCCAAATGACTGTCAACATAGATTCTTTACTATTTCCCCTCAAACAACTGGTTTTCTATCAACACATGTTTATTGGCTTAGAAAATACAAAGGCTAGTCCCATGAAGAATGTTAAAAATATTTCATCAGAAACTCCAAGTAAGGGAAAAATTTGGGGAGTTGAAGCAAGATCTTATGACCATTCAGTGCTCTTGGAATTTCCACTCCAAAGAGCCCTTATAGCTTTCTCAAGTCAAGTTTTCTGGCGAGGTTTAATGCCAGTAGGATTTTATTGGGCAGCAACATTGCAAAGGCTCATTCGTTAGTGAGGCTACCCAAGAAGCCCCATATTGCTTTCTTTGTTGTTCAAGGGGTCGAGGATCACTGTGGAATTTACAAACTTTATTTTCAGCAATTGTTAGTTTTGCAAGGATGTGCTCAACTTTCCCCTGAGAACACCTACACTTATTAACAGCTTTAAGGGTAACCATTAGTGGTTTCCTACAATGACAATGTAAAACCGCTTTTTTCAAGATTTTATTTTCTTTACTCTAAGTATCTGGAATTAGACAGATTGGCTCAATGAGAAGAATCCACAAGCTTGTAGCAATTGTTTCACCCCCAAACACCTGTTCCATCACTAGCTATGTCTACACAGTGATAATTTTCCAGCAGATCCGGTGGCTTTGTGTCATCATTGGCACAAAGATCTGTTGAAGCAAATGACTGATACCGGGGTGGCCCTGTCTATGTGATGAATCTGTTCACTGAAGCCTCTTTCCACATGCAGTGTCCATTTGCTCATTGTCCTGATAACATCCCAGGTGATTGCATCACTGTAAATCTCTGCTCCTGTAACTAAGAGATAGAAGGTTCCAGAGCTTTACCTTGAAATTTCAGGTTTTCATTTGACATTTGGAAAAAGCAATTGGTGTATTCAGGGTCAAGCTGGATTCTCCAGGTCATTTTATGTGTTCACAAAAACAGCCTCTGAGTTTCAGCTTGTATCTCTCCACAAGATGACCCAAGTGTCTTTATTGTAGGTTCCTTGGGGATTTTGCCTTTGTAGCTCTCTGAAAGCACTTATCTGCTAGCAGTGAATAAGATAGCAGATCTCCTCAATTCCTTTCTGCCCTTTTAAGGGAGCTAATGAGATCACAGACACTCTGTGTTTTTATCTATCCTTCTAATGTATCACATAAGATAAGATATCAGGGTCTCCCCCCAAAGCAAACCAAAAGGAAACACAAAGAAACACTGAAGGATGAGAAGACAACTTGGGATGGGATAACTTGTGCCTGGAGCTTACCTGTTAACGAGCCAGAGCCACGATCCAATCGTAAGTCATGAACAAGAGCAGGAAGCAAATAAATTGTAGTCACTTCAAATTAGCTCACTCAACAGGCCAGGAGCAAGTTAATTCTTAAGCATTTAATTCCATCAATTGGCACTCAAACGAGGAGAGGCAGAAACAAATGGTGTAGTCTTTGTGAAGTTGTTAACCTGACCTGAGCTCATAAGAGTGAATTAAATTTTTCAGTCTTTCCCCAATTCTTCAGTATTGTGTAGATACACATTTTCAAATGGAAGTTTAGTATCCTACTCAGTGACTAGTATCAGGTCCACCACCACTTACTTGAACAATTAAATTTTGTGTGCCTCAGTTTTCTTATCTGTAAAATGGGGATAATAATAGTAGCACTCTTTATAAGGGTTAAGAGTAATAATACACTCAAAGCATTTATTAAGGACTTGATTGACACACTAGCTATTATTATTTCTTAATATGCATGCTTGAGATACCAAAAGATAGGAACTTTAACAAATTTTCATCATTGTTTGCAGAATCTGGTCTTTAATCAGGGGTG